GGGGCGGCGGAGATGGCCGCGGGGAGGCAGCGGGTGTCCCTGGGTTTGGGCCTGTGGGGATGCTGGCGGAGCCGGCGGCAGCCTCCTCGCGTGCGGGGAAGACCTGAGTCGTGCTTGCAGGTGGAGCTGGGCTGTGGGTTACACGATGGGTGTACTCACTAGCGAAGGCAATTTTTTAACCGTTTGATAGGGGAGAGCGAGTGTAGAACGAAGCTGCTTTTCTGGGTTGGTAGAAGTTATTTGAAGCAGTTTTTTTCTTTCTTTTTTTTTTTTTTTACTTTGGCTGTTCACTGTTCTGAAGCTTTTTGTTTGTTTGTTCGTTTTTATTTTTATTTTCCAGAAGTCAAGGCCATAGAATTTCCCCAGATAACTTCTGGGTGAAGGTGTGATTTGTTATTTAATTTTAGTGAGCTGCATATCCAGAGAGTCATGATGTCCTTTTCAGGCTGGTAAATTTTACCATTAGAATTGCGGAATTGCCAAAATATTGGAAAAGATCTGTTAGAACTTTAGACTGTTGGAACTGTCTGAATCTTTTAGCTATTTCAGTATTACTTCCACTGGATTTTTCTCCTGTTCTGTGCTGTTAAATGTTCTATAACTTCAGTCGGCTTCCATGAACTATTTTAGTATGTATAAGTATCTTAAAGAGAACGCTCTTACAGTTGCATGCTGAATCAAACAAAGCTCTAAATTCGCCTCTTCACTGAGAAAGGGATCAGACTTGGTGAAAGCAGGACAGATTAGAGATTTCACAAAAAAAAAAAATTTAACTTCTAAAATAGTTTTCTAATCCATATAGAGAAGTAACAGTTGCACTTTACCCATTTTTAAGGTTACATATGATATTTTTGAACTGCTGTTTCATCATATAGACTAAAACATGGATATTATAATTGTTGCATTTATTTTTTCTACAATAACGAAAGGGTGTATATGTTAACTTTTGTGAATATGTCATCTATATCATGAAGCGTGTGCTAGTAACTGTTAAAAAAGGCAGAGTATACTGTTTATTTTAGCTGTTAAAATACAACAATGTTTTTCTTTTGCAGAAATGCAGGAAAAGTGAATTTATGAAATAAAAATCTTTGGATCTTTGCAAGGAAGCAGAACTGGGTCTTTTTTGAAGGTGCCAAGTTCTACATAAAATTTTGGTGGTATTGGTATATGAAGAGGCTTTGACCACACGCGATATAGCAATTAAACAAAAAAAAAAAGTGTTCCAATCTGTAAAGAACCTGCAACTGTGAAGTTATGGTTACTGGCAATAATGGTATCAAGGTGTTTGTTCATTCCTGGGTGCATGTTTAATGATGTAGTCTACTGAATAATAAACAATATTTATTACTGTTCTGGCCATAGTGCTGTTAGATACAGTTTTAACCTGTGTGAAATTTTCCTCTTGTTCAGCAATGAATGTTCAGCAATTTGAGCCTGATGCATGGCTATAAAACTAGAAGACAGACTGGAGTATCATCCAACTACAGATCTTCTTTTAGTTAGTCACTCAGATCAGCCATTTCTTTCCTGAGTTGTTATTTACTGAAAAGATCTAAATTTGCTTCACTCTTGAGGTTTGTTGTTCTTCATATAACATGTGAAAGGGGCTTAAGAATGTTTTTCTATCCAGAAATTTAAACAAGAGACTGCAAGATATTGCTTATGTCAGTTATTTTAATGATCTTTTTCAACTGTAAATCAACAGAGCTTTGACTGTCATCTGCTTATTCTTGTAAAAAATGCAGTTCAAAAAGACAACTACCTTTTTTTTAAAAAAAGGAGAAAACTTAGCATTTACTTTTCGCAAAAGACATGCGTTGAATGTTTAGTGTCCTGCCTGTTTAGATTTAAAATGTGCTTTGGGAGACATCTAACAGTAATGAAAACATCTGCAATTTTGAAGACGTGATCATGAAGGATAGTGGAAAGTGTAAAATGATACTTGCTCTAAATTTGTGAGTTGAGGCAGTCCTATGCAACTGGAGGGAGTCCTGTCTAATTATGGATGTCAGGTATTTATACTGTTAGATGTGAGATACGGATCATTATGACAAATTACTCCTTTTTTATTAGTACACTTTAAGGGAGACTTCTACCAATAATGCGTATTATTTTTATAATACTAATATTATATGTTTTTATTATAGTATTATTTTTATAATACTAATATTATATGTTTAACATATTTTAAATATAAATTTAGTTAATCTTCATAAGCTGTCCAATGCAGTGGCGAAACTGGAAGTAGAAAATGATCTGTTTCTATGGGCTGGAAGAGTCAAAGTCAGGGTCCAGTGTTACCTGGCTTTTGAGTTCCATCAGCTGGTCTGCTAACAAGAAGACTTCAGACCAAGGTCTGGTCTGCGGGAGAATTCCGGACTTCTTGTCTGGGTCTTGTAGGAACTAGTGTACCTCTCCAAAAGGACAAGACGGGAGAGGAAACTCTTGAGCTTCTGAATGATCAAGTTTTTACATCTGCTGTTGCAAACTCTACCCCACAGTGATGGTCGTGGTCTGCATCCAGTGGCGGCCACTTAAAGCTGGTGGGCTCTTCTGGCTCAGATCACGTGGTTCCTATAAATGCTGTGGCCCAAGTAAGGTTTCGTCGGGAACCTTGCTTTGCTTATCCGGTGTGAGCTCAGCTGAAAAGCCTGTTGTTCAGGTGAATTTTGAACGTGTGGAAAACAGGATGATTATGTTAAGCTTCAGGATTTGGGAAGTGTTCTACCCATTATAAAATATAAAGAAATGTATCTGTTTTTTTCAGAATAACTATAGCCTATATGTCTTTGTACTCTAATGTTGATTCTTCAGAATTGGATTTTCTTTCAGTTTGTGAAGTACAAATGTATTGTGGCTACTGTCAAAGCTAAATAAATACAAGGTGGAGCTTATACTTGAATTCATTTTTCTGAATTTATGCCTGAACGCTAATGTAGACCTTTTATTTTTTGTTTTTCTAAATACACTGTAGATACTGTGCAAGACACATTGCATAAAAGGACTGAGGATGCTAAAGGTATGCCTGAAACTCTGTATTTTGAAAGGATAGAATACAGTATCCTGGTAACGTACAGGAAAGTCACACCTGAACATTTCTGAAAGCGAAAAATGCACTGCAAAACAAATCTAAGGTGATATTTTAAAATGCTTATCCATTTTTACACAGACTTGTGTTCCTGTCACATAACCATTGGTTTGATGCAGTTGATGCTTGCTTGAGGCTTGACAGATTGTGCAGCAATGCCAGTTAAAGCTGAGAAGTATGATCGACCTACGTTCTAGTAATTTGTGCATGTGAGCATAGCTTTTTCCTTAAAAAAAAAAAAAATAATTATTCATTGAGGGGGGAGGAAGAGGAGACAAAAGGAAGTGCATCTTGTCTGCATTCATCTGGCAGTGTTGTTTTCTGTGGTTTCTTGGAGACACAAAACAAACAGCACAACACAGTTCAATTTAAAAACAGTTATGTTAGACAGCCTGTGATTTGGTATGTTGTCCTTCCAACGTTTCCAGTTCCTGCTCATGTGAGCTTGTAGGTTATAGTTTAAGCTTTCTGTTGAATAATGTACACCTCTGGAGATAGTCCATAAATTCACCAGCCTTTTTGAACTAATACAGTTCATCATAATATTTTGATATAATTACTCGAAATATTGCCAGAAGTAAAATTTGTTCATGACTTTTGAAGCATTTTGAGCAGTTAATTGGCTGAAAATATTGGTGATATTAAGGCACATTAAAACTTTCAGCTCAAGTAATGATTGAAGCAGACTGCATATTTTGCTGTGCAGTTCTAGCTTTCTTCTGTGATTTAAATGCAGTTGCCCAGGACTGGCTACTTCCTGCTTCTCTTTTCAGTATGGGGAAAAAGAAACAGCTGTATATGACAGTGGACTCCTTTTCTCCATTTTAGTCCTTGTTCTGTTGGCAGTTAAGAGCAGCGCATTTTTTCCCACATTAAATAAATTGGTTTATATACTTACTCTTTTCAGGGGCATATATGCCAGGTACTTTTGGCATGCAAACAGGGAAAGGAACAGCCAGGAGCTTTAATTGTTGTCCTTCTACAGATAACTACTGAGAGTCTGTGCTGCTTTCATTTGCAAAACCACACAGCGGCTCTGCAGGAATTACTGGATGTGGTGGGGGAAGTTTGGAAAGTCTGCAGATGTGGATCCCTGATTTTTGTGCTCAGTTCTAGCTGGAAGGTATTCTTGTGTCTTGTGAGCTGTCCCCCCACCTCCTCTCTGTAGTGCAAGTCAGACCCTTTGGATTACATAAATACGTCCGTCAGTCAGCCCGCCTACAGGTGTTGTGGCTCAGGTATTGTGCCCATAGCTTGTCCCTCCTCTTTTTTTTTTTTTTTGTTTGGCCCTTCTACCTGCTATTCATTTCCTGGAGGTCTTCAGGTTCTCTTTGCCGGATCTGTCCCCTCCAAGCTTGGTGCTGCATGGTCTAAGTTGGTGGTCCTGGGGCAAGGCCTGCCGGATCACAGTTGAGCTGTGTGCTACAGAGAGAAGTAGGGTCTGGGGGGATTTTCCTGGAAACTGCAGAACTCTTCACAGGGGGCTGTTCTCACAGTTTAGTCTCTTTTTAACAAGTAAGTATTTAATTTTAATGGGGCAGCATGTCTGCAGTGATAAACTTGATGTATCTGCCTTTTGAGACCTAAATGATCTCACTTCCTGGCCTCAACTCCATAGAGCAAGACTGGCGCAATCTCTTCTTTTAATGATGGAGATCTTTTAAAAGCAGTATGGGAAATTAATACCTGGTTGCCATTTGAGTAGGAGAAATTAAAAAAATATTTCAGGCTGAGCTGTAGCAGGAAAGGCAATGTGAGAATTCTTTGGGATCATTCTAGAGAAGTACAACTGGATGCACCACTATTTTTCTGTCACTAAGATGCACCTCTTATGTCTTTCCCAAAGTTAATCTACTCATCCCCAAATTAGGTAGCAGTGCTATTACTAAAAAAGAAGGAAAAAAGGAGAAGATCCTTGTCTGTCTTTCTGTTTAGTAATTTTAATTGAGATACATTATTCCCACTAGGTGTCGCCATTTTACTTGTGGATAGTCACTGCTTCTTTAGCTCTTGCAACTCCTTACAAATTTCATCACTATTTAGTGTAATCTGTTCCACTTCTGAAGATAATCTAGGGCTTTACTTGCTTCCCCTTCCCCAATCTTACTTTTGAATAGGTAACGTCTAGGTGGAAACATAAAGTGTAATTGGATGTAGATATTTGAATAATTGCGTATAACATGTATTTTGTTAGTGCAAGCCTATTGCTTCCTTGAAAATGCTAGATGCTTTAATATCTTTCAGATGTAAGGAAACTTTGATCCAAATAGAAGGGAATCATTTTGAAATCTACCACCCAATACGTCCTTAACGAATGCAGAGAAACTGCGTTTACAAGTATAATAGCTCCTACTCTGTTCTTCTTCAAACCCTTCAGGATGTATACTCAGCATGGATTATGGCATGATTGGGAACACGTTTTTCATTACTTCCGATCTGTACGTCAGCGTTAACCAACTTATACTGAGCCGAGTACTGGAGATCTATAAAACAGTGTAGAGATGCCTATGAAACTGCAAAATTAGAAGAATAAAAATAAGCATGTGCACATACATTCTCTTTGATTTTGCTGGTATGTGTCATTTCCTGCCAGTTTTCAGGAATACTCAGAGACCATATTTAACTGCTGTGAGAGCCCAATTAAAACATTTGTGGTTATAATGGTAAAACTACAATAAATATGTTGTTTATGTAAATGTTTTATTTATTTACCATTATTCTCTTCCCCCTTCCCCCCCCTCCCCGCCCTCACTTCACCATTTCAAGTGATAGCAGTATGCAGTGTGGACCAAGAATTTATTTTGAGTGGTGAGAGGCACTGAGCAGTAATAAATCAAGTCACTAGGATGGCTGGTTAATTTGCCATGGTTGCTGTGTTGCTGTAGTTGGCTTCCTGCCTATAGTTTAGTAGCCTTTTCTGGTATGGTGGAAAGTAACAATGAGTAATATACAATACAATACCATAGAAAGACAGTATTACATTTTACATTTTATTATTATCCATTTGCCTATCATCTGCATTTCCTTTATTCTTTTCTCCACCGTCTGTTTGAGAAGTATCTCTTGGTTTTTGTGAGCTGAATTCCCTTTGAGTTGCTTTTCTCTGGCTTAATCTACATCATTAGGCTGGACATTTGGCTAAAAATTCTTAGTAAAGTTGCGGCTCCCACTGAGAAACACCTGTGCCACAGCAGATGTAGAGAGAGAGATAAAACAGGGGTTTTTGAAAGCTGCTTTTGAAAATTCTTATTTTCTCATCTTGATGGTTAAGAAAAAAAGAGGAAGACTGAAACCTTGTTGATTAACTGCAGTAAATGCTGAATGGCAGTTTTCTTGTAAATCATTTAGTTCTGGTTCTGAGATAATTAAAAAAATATTACTTGCTTGATAATATATCAGCTGTTCAAAATGAGAAGTTGAAACAATCTCTCTGAAGACTGGCAGAAAATAAACTTTGTATATGTGCAGGTGTACGATTCAAATGGTCCTCTGTTTTCTTAGATATCTCTTTTGGTCTAGCAAATGCAAGGAAACATTTCTGAAAACCAAGCCAGCCACAGGCAAGGAGTTAGTGAGCTGAACGTGATCAAGTGAAAATAAACAAACAAGAAGTCTTGCTACTGCTTTCTGAATCTGTATGGAAGACAGTTTAGAGACAAGAGACAAGTAGCATTAGAAAGTAGAGTAGTCATATTTTTATTAAGCCTATATGTATAAGGATTAGTTCATGACATCTAGAATTCAAATGTGTTATTTGGCAGTATTTGCCAGAGTTGTAAAAACAAAGGTTAACTCTTCAGGGACTTAGTTTGCTCAGTCTTTAGAAAGGTAGGACTCTCTAGTCCAGAAGGCTGTGGCAGACTCAACCTGCCAAAATATCTGACCTAGTTAAATTCCAGTGAGAGAAGTTCAGCCTCCCATGTCTCTTATTTCTTAACAATCAATAGCAATTCATTCTTAGCTGGACTGAGGCAGAGCCTATTTCAAGGCATCAAAGACTGAATTTCATTAAAACAGGCTGCAGAAAGATTTTCGTGACAGAATTTGATGTAAAGGGTAAGCAAATTGGAATATTATAAGTGTAGTGGTGGAAGTCCAGTTATAATGTCTGATAATGACACCATGCAGTAGCACAAACAAATTACTAGAAGAATCAGGTCCAAAATAGACCTTGAGGCTTTTTTCATTTAATGGAAGTGGTAAAGAGAAGGAAGCTAGCAAATACTTTATCTGTCAAATCCTCCATTTCATGGAGTTTCTTGTTGGCTTTAGTTCCTGCTGTTCTATTGCAATTAAAAAAAACCAAACCTCCTTTAGCCCCTCTCCCCTCCCTCCTCCTCAGAGTATTTATATTGCTTGTGATGCTATTAAACTTTTCCAGGGGAATTTGTAAGCATGAACTCAGATGCTCATTTTTCTGTTAAAGGACCTATTTTAATATTTCAAATATAAATATTTATAGCAGTTAAGCATACTTAGAGCCTGATTTGACATGTATAAGGCTTGCTGGTTCATGGGACATTTATGACAAGGATTGTAAGAATGAGTTTGATTTGAAAGTAGGAGATTTGCAAATCACCTGGCTGCTCTCTCTATGGATTTGTAGGTTGCCATTGAAGCCAATGTGCATATTCAGAGTGATCTGAGTAGCCCTGTGATTTTTCAGAACTAACAGTGATTTGAAAGATACGTACTGTGAACTTGCTGGGATTTGCAGGTTTGGAAGAGGTAGGCCTGCAGTGTAGGCTCTGGCTAAGGCAGGAGTTATGGTATATAGCATCTCTACAGCTACTCAGCAGACGCTATTCTGCCCAGCAGGTTCTACATACCACCTTGCTTCACAGAGTAAAAAAACAGGGAAAAAAATACAGCTTTCGCCAAGTTAAGTGAAAAGCTGGTCGCTGGAAGAGATGTGGCTGCGCAGTTTACTGAAACAGCTTTCCTATAAAGAGCTCTGCAGAGACAGTGGAAGAGATCATTTTTTTCATTCGTTTTTACTCTGACTGATGCTGAGAAATTTTGTTGACGTGGATCTTGCTCATTATCTTTTAAGATCAAGCTGATAATTTTACTTATGTGACTCTTTGGTAAGCTTGGAGAAGCTATGTTAGTCAATGTGAGGGGACAGACTTGAGAGTCTGAGAGGGGAGTTTGCATTGACCATGTAATGCAAAAGGGGCTCCTTTGGGTGATAGTTTAGCTTTCATTGTACTAGAAATTTTGTGGTATGCACTTGAGCTCAGCAAGGGCATGCTTAAAGCTGTTTCCCTCCTGATGGATCCAAGTCTAAAGCACCCAACCTGCTGTATGGGTGCCAGGTCTTCTAGCAGTGCGTGCCTAGGACTGGCAAGCAGTGCAGGCTTCATTGCTGGTAAAGATGTGGTATGGACCTGTGGTGCTGGTCCATAATGGACTGCAGTAAATTAAACCCTGGGCCTTCTCTCCCTGTGCCATGCTAGTCAATAGCGTAGATGTACCCTAATGGACCCGGTTGTGCAGAACAGTCAGGCTAATGTTCCCAGCTGGCAGACTGGGCCTTTCTGAGCCTCAGAAACAAAGTCTGAACATCAGCACAGATGTGTGTCTGACCTTCTGTTAACTTTATGAAATGCTGTGTGCATTTGAGAAATGAATAAATATTACTTTACACTGAGCATACAGTTTCTGTGTAGTATATCTGCTGCCTCTGACTTCTTAATGAAGTCACTTAATGAAGTCATTTAGAAGATCCAAAGGTAGGCTTTTATTATTCAGATAATGCAGGTAATTGGGACCTGTGGGGTAGGACAAGCTTAAGGATTAAGTGGAGTAGAAAGTTGCTGTGGATCGCAAACCGTTTCAGTCATGGGCAGACGTGGCCAGACTGCGTACAAGCAGTCTCGTTGCACTTCTCTGCCCTGGCCACTACCTTCTCTGTGGTGCTGGAGCAGAAGGTAAGAAACAAAACATTTCTTCTGCACTGAGAAAGTCAGATTCTGCTGAGCTCACTCCTACTGCTTTTCTCACTCTCTCTGTCTCCCCCCAAACTAACCAACCGTACCCTCAGACAACTCTGGACTGGAGGAGGAGTGAGGAAGTGATGGTCTTTAATTTGGTTGTGTTGTTGGTCACTGCCTGTAGCTA